TAAAAACTACTGGTCTCCTGGTAGAATATATGTACTCCATTGAATAATAATTAAAAGTCTACATGGATTTTAGTACAACACAAACGAAATTTATCAAAAAGGCTATTCTATACTATAATAGCGTACTGACTGTAATAATTAAAATTATTTTTTAGATATTACAAAAAAAAAAAAATGGTCTCACATCCAACCTTTCTATTGTTGCTAAAATTAAAAATAAAAACATTATAAATCGTTGAATTCTAAGAAACGCAGCTTGGAGCGCAGAATTTACATTGGAAATAATTAAAAACTGTTCGTACTATTTTCTGTTCAAGAATTTATTTTAATTAAAAATAAATTCATTTTTTGTTTCTTCATGAACATATGTAAAGATATAAAAACTTTTCTGAAATAGGTAGGAAAGTCGTGTGAGTGGACGCACCAGATTTTTAATATTTTGTTGTTTTTGCAGAATTGATGTGGTATTGAAATTAAAATTTTATCCAATATTAGTAATAGTCCTGTTTATGTTTTGACGTACTTTCAAACTTCTATTTCACATTCTATTTTCTCAAAGCGTTTTTTGTCGGTACGCCTTAACTTCGTCAATTCTTCATCAAATCAAATGATTGACCACTCATTTCGAAGATATTTTTCTTAGTCTCACCCCCTCCCCCCCCGAAATTTCTGAAAAAAAGTTATAGAAGAAAAAGAAACTTTATTTGCGAATAACCCAAAAAGCATGCATTTTTTTCTGGATTGTAGCCATGATAATTAAAAAAATCTGCGCGCAACACACAACTTTCACTTACCGCTTTACTTTGAATAGAAATTATTTTCTAGCAATGCTGGGCTATTATAAAATTAAGTGCATTTTAAACGGAGCTAAAGCTTAAAGCTTACAGATAACAAGTCATTAAAACCATTATAATTACAAAATGTCTATTTAATATATCGACGACAGGCAATAAAAATCTATTCACTCTATCTGCTTTTATAAACCACAGAATGACTAACATTCTATAACATAACCAATTTCAACATTTTTGAGTGATGTAATTTTGGTGATATTTTTAGTTGAAAAAGTTATCTATGCAGACAATGAGTATGTTGAATCAAGAGGTGGTGATTCCAGTCTTGAAATATAGAACTGAGAATAAAAGTATAAATATAGGTACTACTTTCTTATGAAAGATGTTCTTAGGAAAGACACTTTATTAAATATTTGTAGAAAAAGGGTTTTATTAGTCTCAACAATTAAAAAAATATATTTTAAATTTATCCAAATTTTCACCTTTTCAGGGAAAAAAACTAGAGACCATATCTTTCCTCCTAATTGTCCGATTTTAACGATATTTTTTTCGTTTTTTTAGGAAATTCCATAAACTTTTAAAAAAACATTAAATTAAACAAACTTTTTGAGTTATTCGGAATTTAATTTTACCATCCCTCGTAACTTTTTTCCAGCGTCTTTTCGTTGAAGTATGTTGTATAGATAAATTAAAAGGGGGTCGAGAAAATGACTAGCGAATTTTCATTGAAATCTAGATTCGATTAGGCGCTATAGTCTATACCAACGCAGGTTTTTCTGCATTTTTATTTTTTTCTCCTTTATTAACTTATCAAATTCTTTCAAAAGTTATATGTAGCATTTTTTCGTAACTCTGAATAATGCGAAATGATTAACTTTTTAAAATAAACCATATTAAACGTACTTTACAGGAAGACATATATGAACATTGGGTATTTAAGCCCTGTAAAGTGACATCAACGGGGATAAGACCTAAATAATATTAAAGACCACTTAATTATACAATAATACACCGAGTTTGATCAAAATCGTTAGAGTCGTTTTTGAGAAAATTGTAAAAATGTGTTTCAGCGTGCATATAAAGTGGCACTTTCGGTTAGCCGATTTTAACGAAAAAGTTGCTGTCACATCCGGCCCATATACAAACCTTTAAATCAGTTTCGTACTACGTACTACACACACACGCACAGAATATTTTGCGACACTTGGTTATTTGAACTCAGGGGACCTCAAAACATGTATTTCCGTTGAAAATTGAGATTAGAAAATTTTCACGATCGCAATACTTACCCTTACTATATATTACATATATACGTAAGTGAAAGTAAAAATTACTAAATTTTCTACATACCAAAAACAATCATAAAAATCAAAAGCTAAATAGTGGTAAAACTATTTTATTGAAAGCCAACGTTTCGACCCGACTTTGTAGGTCTTCATCAGGGAGGTGTGTTCCTCTAGGAGTTTCACTTATGACCGCAACCCCGGACCATCTCCTTCCTTTATAATGCAACGGTCAACTATTAAATATTAAATCATAAAAATCGGACAATTATTAACAAAGATACAGTCCATTAGTTTTGGTATGCTTAATAATGTCTCCCTGTTTAAAGATATTGCATTTAGGAGGAGAATAGTCTACTACACTTTTTTTCCTGGTCAATATATTAACTTTATTATTTCTTAAAGACATTTGGTTGTTCTTACATTTTTTTTTTTTTAATTTAGAAAATCCCATGATCGGGGAATTATTTTCCCTTTATTACTTTTATTATCTTTCCAGTCAGTGTTTAAAAATAGGTCCTAGCAAAGCAATTTGTACAAATATTTTGGTCTATTATGTTTAATGGAATATCGTAATCGACTAAGGAAAAAATATTAATTCCTTCCTTACATAATAGATAGGAATTACTTATATCCATAATGTTTTGTTATTTCTTCATTTAACAAAACTTTGTGCGAATTATTCGCACGGGCCAACTAGTATATTATATTACTCAACTTTTCTTTTGGTATACGACCGTTAGTTTAACATGACAAGAAAATTATAATTAATCTGTAAAAAATTAAAATATATGTATATAAAATAAAGATTTTGTCTGTATATTAAATAGAATCAATCCGTTTCACGATATCTTTCTGTTTTATACATTACAGACACAAAATCCACTTTTAAAAAAATTTTAAGATTAGGCAGTTACTTCGATTCTAATCCCAACCTACTCTACCGTGAGCAACATTTAAAAATTGTACTACTCAACTGATGGAAAAAATGATCACAATTCAACGGGAAAAATCCGGAATACCGAACATTTGTAACTCGTTGTCGCTTAAAACACGGGTAAAAGAATCATGAACACGGGGGTTCGAGAATCATGAACTGTTTTTTAAGATTCGTCTTCGGCACTTCGGGATGGTCTCATGTGTCCCACCTGTATGCCGAGTCAAAGTGGCTCTTCCCATCTTCCCGCCGCCTATACTTCCTTGGAAATTTCTTATACCAAACGATCAACTCCCAGCACCCTTCCTATATCTGTTGTCTCCTCCAGCCTAAACCCTTAGTCCATTCAATAAAAACGAGATCCCGTGTTTCTGGCCTCTATATTCCATTCCACAGGACAAAAACCTATGAACGTTCCTTCTTAGCCCGTTCCGTCTCCTACTGGAATTCTTTGCCACATAACATCCGTCATGCCTCCTCCCTGTCAACTTTCAAATACCTCCTTTTCCAATATCTCCTTACATCCCAAACAGAAGATTTACCACCATAAATTTCATTTTATGAACTGAAGTAAATAGTGATGCCTACTGTTTAAGTTTTAACATAAAACAGCAATGATCTTTGTCACCTAGTTTGACTATTATTTTTACAATTTATGTATTTTTCTCTTCTCCTCAGGTTGTGCTATTTCTTGCGGGTATATATGTTTATATTATATACTTTTTGTCTCTCTTTGTACCAATATGAGTATGTACGTATAAATAGTTCCTTTTATTTATTTTACTTATTTTTTTTTTTCCATTACACCACAAGTATCCTAAGATTTTATTTTATCTTAGTGTCTGCATATTATTATATAAACCACTGTAGATATTATTACATTTTATATTAAGTTAGTTTTTTATTAGATAGCCTATTGTTTATAAATTGTGTAGTTATGTATATATAAATATGTAATTTTTCTTCTTTTTTTTTTTTCATCACAATTAAGTAATTTTAAGAAGATTTTATGTTCATTTGTATATATATTTTATTTTTTATTTTTCACTGGTTACATACTTTTTAAATAATGTATATAATATTAAAATTTTTATAAGTTAGTTTTTAGCCAGATTTGTACGTTACATTGTATTAACTCATCATTGTTATTCTAAAGGGACTTAGTCCCAGGATAAACTTTAATTTTCTATTCTATTCTATTCTAAAACACACTCATTTTTCAACTTTGTCCGATCTTTCCGTTCAAGATGTCATTCGATTCAACTTTCCGAGCCTAACAAATATTTACGTATACATTTGCAAGATTAACCAAACGGATTAGCCAGAAAATGGGGGAAAAAATCCAAAAATTTCATCCCGCCCGCCACAATATTCAGAACAAGTTCTAATTTTACACGGATGTAGGTGATTCAATGTCCAATGTTACTTTGGTTATTTTGCCAGCGGTAACTCAGCAAAGTTTAAAGAAGTGGAGAGACTATTAAAGAGAAAATTGAACACTTAACAAATTTTAATGGATCGATGGTGGTCGGTTTAGTTGTGTGATACCTAAACAAATAGCCGAATGACAAAGTTTTTGTTATTACTATTGCGAAGTCTTGACTTCCATAAGCCCCGCCATTAAAAAAATTCAAAATAACCCCCTCCCTCCACCCGACAGAAGTTTATGAATTGAATTAGGACCCTCTCCTCCCATTATACAAAATCCATCTCAAAAAAGATTCTCAAATTTTAACTATACATCCGTCAACGATGGGTACATCAGCTAGTCATTACATAAACTAATTTTTAATAACTATTTAACTAATGATTTGATTATATCGATTTAATCAATCGATTATTTAAAACAAAATAAATAAAAAGAAATAGAGTGAACCAAAGGCCCACCCTCACTTATCGTATAGGTGAGCAGGGTTCGGGAACGTTCGGCTATTTCCGCGGTCGGAGCCGAACTCTGTCGACCGCGGCGCAGAGCTGTCAGTGCGTGCGGGATGGCCTGACTGTTCGGTCGTGTGTGAGGTGTACCATGGTCTGCACGATGTCCGAACGAAAAGCCCCCATCCGAGTCGGCTTCTACGACATAGAGAGGACTATCGGAAAGGGAAACTTCGCAGTCGTCAAGCTGGCTAGGCATAGGATCACAAAGACTGAAGTCAGTATTAACGATACTACTATATTATTAATCGATAAGTATATATAATAATGTAATTATACTTTATTTCGGATTCAAGTAATGGACTGTTACTTTGTTAATAATTTTTGTTATGTTGATAATTTAGTAATTTTTTTAAATTATCATGGGTACTACAATCCAGAAAAAAACGCATACTTTTTGAGTTATTCGAAAATAAAATTTCTTTTTCTCCATAACTTTTTTTTCAAGAAATTTTGGGGAGATGAGACAATTTTTCGCATGTAAAGGAGAAGAATATCTTTAAAATGAGCGATCAGTCATTTGATTTGATGAAGAATTGACGAAGTTATGGCGTACCGACAAAAAAACACCTTTTAGAAAATAGAAGTTTGAAAGTACGTCACAATATAAACAGGTCTATTACAAATTATAGACATAATTTTAATTTCAATACCAAATCAATTCCGTAAACACAACAAAATATTAAAAATCTGGTGCGTCCACTCACACGACTTTCCTACCTATTTCAGAAAAGTATTTATATCTTTACATATGTACATCATCCACAAAAAATGAATTTATTTTTAATTAAAACAAAATTTTTGAACAGAAAATAGTACAAACAGTTTTTAATTACTTCCAATGTAATTCTACGCTCTAAGCTGCGTTTCTTAGAATTCAATCATTTCTAATGTTTTTATTTTGAATTTTAGCAACAATAGAAAGGTTGGATGCAAAACCATTTTTGCTATTTTTTTTTAATATCTAAGAAATAATTTCAATTATTACAGTCGGTACGCTATTATAGTATAGAATAATAGCCTTTTTGATAAATTTCGTTTGGGTTGTACTAAATTCCATGTAGGCTTTTAATTATTTTTCAATGGAGTACATATATTCTACCAGGAGATCAGTAGTTTTTATATTTTGAGAAAATCTTTTTTTTCTAGTTGTAAATATATATATATATTAAATCACTTAGAAAACGATATTTTTAATCCATTCTTATTACACGACTACTGAATAAAAAATCTGGTGTTTCCACTCATACGACTTTCCTACCTATTTCGAAAAAGTATTTATATCTTTACATATGTTCATAAAGAAACAAAAAAATAATTGAACTAGATTTATTTTTCTGATAATTGACCAAACAAAAGATTTGAGTACGATTTATTTGATAAAAGCACTGTATACCGGCTTAAGGTAGATCAGCGTAAAAGTTTCAATACTTACTAATATTGCTGATCAAAAACTTTTTGCCATGGCTTAATTTTGTCTAACAATAATTTCTGTTAAAAGTAGAGGAAATAGTGAAGATTGTGTGATGCGGACAAAATTGAATTACCTTTCAAAAGTTTTATTATAAATTTTACCGTATAATATATACTTAGGGAGTTAGGCTCCATAACATTTTTCTTTTCTTTATAGCTTTTTTTCCTGGAATTTTTTTCGGGAATTTAGTCTATATACGAAAATTGAGAGGACAATGATTAGAACATTATAGAAAAGTTTAATCAAAATCGTTCGCACTACAGTCTATAGAAAAACATGTTTTTCATTTATTGCGCGCAAGCTATTACGCACGGAGCACCGAATTTCAGTCACAGGCATCAGTAGCCAAAACTCTACAAAATAAAAAAAAAAAGCAACAAAATTGGTTTAGTAGTTCCCGAAAAAATTTTGGCACAGACAGACAGACCAATGGTTAAAAAGGTGTTTTTCGGACTCAGAGGACTCGGAAACGTATAGATCTGTCGAAAACTGCATATCGAAAATTTGACCCAATTGCAATACTTTCCTTACCTAGTATAGGTAGGAAAGTAAAAAAAATAAAATAGTTTTAAGTGTATATTGAAAATGTTATATTTGTATTGAAATAAATAATACATATACAGAATGCCCCATTAGTAGAGGCTTAAAAGGTTGATAGTAGACAACAAGATCTACATAAAAGTTCATATAAAAAATTGCCAAATTTTCAGAAGAAAAGTAATAATTTTAAGATTTGTGTTTTTTTAAGCGAGTCATGTTTTTTGTTGAATAGAAAGCGATAACATAAAAAAATATTTGATTTAAGTAAATAAATATTGTTCCATAGTTAACCAGACAAAATTTGTTTTAAACGAAAGGATAGTTTGTCATTGTTAAAACTATGGCAAACACAGCTAAGTTTCGTTTTAAAAAAATTTATAAATTATTTGTAATTTTTTTTATTACCCTTTAATTGCACTACAGTTACTCCACTTTTCTAGAATAAACAAAAGCAATTCTAATACCTATTTTTTTGAATAAAAAAATAATTTTCGTTCCCGAATTTTGTGCCGTCTAATTCGATATCTTTCAATTTAATGAAATCATTAATAGCGTTAATACTCTTCTTCATTTGTACACAACTCCTGCCTTTTAGAATATTATGTAAGTAAAATATATTATGTATTTGTTAATAGTTTCGGGCTAAATATGAACCAGTTTTATAAAAATACGTAAAAGGCCGATGGTGACGGAAGCTATGGCCTTAGAAGAAAGCCTTTTTATCAAATTATTAACATCCGCCTGAAACTTCCTGAATACCTTCTCATCTCATCGTTACTAACAGCTTTTTGTAACAACTGACGATCTGCAAACTTTGTCTATTTAATTAGTCACTAAAAACTTATTAACACTCGAATCTTTAAAGACAATTTAATCACGAAATTATGAATAAAAGTGGCCTACAATAATATTAGGGCTTTTTGCATGACCTGAAACAGGCCTAATATTTTTGTGAGACCTCTTTTTTACTGTCCTACCTATACTAGGTAAGGAAAGTATTGCGATCTTGTCAAATTTCCGATATGTTGTTGTCGACGGATCTATACGTTTCAGAGCCTTTAAAGTCCGAAAAACACATTTTTAGCCATTGGTCTGTTTGTGGCAAGATTTTCTTGGGAACTAAAGAACCGATTTGGTTGCTTCTTTGTTTATTTTGTAGGGTTTTGACTACTGATGCCTGTGACACAAATTGGGTGCTTTGCTGCTGCGCAATAAATGGAAAATATGTATTTCTATAGACCAGTGCGAAAACGGCTCAAACTATTCTGATGAAACTTTTCTATAATGTTCTAATCATTGTCCTCTCAATTTTCATATATAGACTAAATTCCCGAGAAAATTCAGGAAAACAAATTATAAAGAAAAGAAAAATGTTTTGAGGACTAACTCGCTAAGTATATATTCTGTGGTAAAATTTACAATAAAACTTTTGAAGGGTAATTAAATTATCAAAAAAACAAATCATTGGAATCGAACCAGTATTAGCGATGATACAGCTTATTCTATTTTAATTTATTACTTTCCTACCTATTCTAGGTAAGGAAAGTGTTGCGATCGGGTCAAATTTCCGATATGCCGTTTTCGACGGATCTATACGTTTCACAGCCCCGAAAAACACCGTTTAGCCTGATTGTTTGAATGATAATAAAATTCTCTACAAAGCCATATAAAGATCGTTCATTTTGGACAACTATTAACGAAGTTACAGCTATTCAATTCCCAATGTAAGATTACGGGTTCATATCCTGGTGTCAGAGCGGGGTAAATGAGAGAATAAAGATGAGTAAGTAAGAAAATCTGTTGCCCGCATCACACAAGCTTCACTATTTCCTCTACTTTTAACAGAAATTATTGTTTGACAATACTAAGCTATGGCAAAAATTTTTTGATCAGCAATATTAGTGAGCACTGAAATTTTTACACTGATCTACCTTAAGCCGGTTTACATTGCTTTAGTTTATCAAATATCGTAAAATCGTACTCAAATCTTATGTTTTATCAATTTTCAGGGTTAACAAATATATATAATTTATATTTTTATTTTAATGTAAATAAAATCAGCAGTTTTATTTGAGTTTCCATATAAATCATATATCCCAGAATAATATTAACAGTTATATATTGAAGATGTGAAATCCATATTTTATTTAAAACACACACAAAAAAAGAAATTTTTTTTTGTAAATACAAACTTTACTTACTTTTTTGACATTGTAAATATTTTATAACGCTTATAATAAATATAGGGAGAGGGGTAACTCAGTACTGAGCTTCCAATGGTAAAGGTCCCAGTTTCGAATCCCGGCACATGGCAGAAAATTATTTATTCTGTAGGTAGGGTAGGTAGATCTTCCCAGGGCAAACCCAGCCTCTATAAAGTGGGTACCCTTAATTAAAATAATTAATTAGGAGGGGGAAAACTGGCAGGCGAGCGTGATCTCGGTCAAATCACCTTCTTGCACAGTCATAGACCAAGAAACAGTGCTTTCCCAAAATAATACTGAACCCAAGACCCTTCATGGGTTGTAGTGGTACAATTTTTTTTTTTTTTTTGCAATAAATATATCTTTTTGAATTTACATAGAGAATTTAATTTTTTTTTTAAAAACACTTTATTGAGAAATATTACAATTTTTCACAGTTAAGGACACTTATAATAGAGTTCAGAGAGTACACAAGAGAATTTAATAGTTGTTATTTGTTAAAAGTCACTATTAAGTAATAATCTATAACAGAAAACATGGCATAAGATATCATTTTATTAAATTAGCACCACTTGATGGGTAAAATAATAACTTTTACAATTGTTTTATTTGAAGAGATTAAAGCCGTGATCTTTGTCTCCGAATGATGGATTAGTATTTTTCTGTCGATATCATTTTAAGGTATTATAAATTATTATACAGGTCCTAAGAGATAGAATTTACTTCCATATCAACTTAAACAGGCTTATAGGCATAATTCGGTGAGGGGAAATAGGGGGACGATCGTCCCTCTCCTAATAAAGACAGTGAGGGGGGGGGGAGCGAAAATATCATTACGCCCTCTCCCCCTACTATTTTGAAGTAAAAATAAAATTGAAATTCATAAAAAATAAGTTAAAAATAAATTAAAACTAAAATCGATTAAAAAAATAAGAAAAGTCGACTAGGTGACAAAGGCCTATCTCTAAATATTTCTATTATTTTAATATTCCTTTATAT